TCCTTCCTTCCTTCCTTCCTTCCTTCCTTCCTTCCTTCCTTCTTTCGTCTTTTTGAGACAGGATCTCCCTGTGGCCCCAGCTGACCTGGAACTCATTATGTAGACCAGGTTTACCTTCAACTCAGAGATGCACCTGCCTCTACCTCCCAAGTGCTGGGATCAGAGATGTGTGCCACCATGCCCAGCTTTTTTTTTTTTTTTAAACACTTCAAAGGCCTATTACCAGGTAATTTTAGCTCATTTGTGTTCAGTATGTCAAGTTTGAGTTTTTATTTCCTTTAGGGTTTACACTGTGGCTTCCATTTCTCCTCTGCTTACTGTGATGATTTTGAATCCTGAGTAAAGGGAAAGAGGCTATTGCTCAGAATAGGTACCAAGAGTGTCTTTCAGAACCAAGATTATGAACTATCTTCAGGAAAGGATACTAGGTGCAGTATCTGACAGATATTCAAGTAAGGTGAGGAGGATTAGAATAAGCAAGAGTACCTCCTTTTAGATCTATGTAGTATATGTTACGTTTTTAAATCCCTAATCTATAAAAGTTTTTTTTTTTTTTTTTTAAACTGCGGTAGAGACTGGCCCTCTGAATAAAGCACAATTTAAAGTCAAAAGGGAAAAATTGTGGTAGAATACACATAGCATAAAGTTTACTATTGTAACCTTTCTGCACTCTAAAAAAATTTGAGACAGGGTCTTATGTAATGCAAGCTGGCCTCAAACTTTTCACTATGTAGCGAAGATAACCTTAAACTCCTGATCTTCTTGCCTCTACCTCCTAAGTGCTGGCATTATAAACATGTGTCACCACACCTGGTTTACTTGGTACTGGGGATTGAATCCAGGGCTTCATGTATGCTAGGCAAGCACTCACCAACTTACCTACAGCTTCAGTAGGTAACCATTTTTAAGCCTACAAATCCATGTGGGTTCATGAGTGAATTCTTTAAGATTCTCAAAGAACAAAATTCTTACGTTATTTAAGCTACCTTAAAACAGAGAAGGAAGGAACTTTTTCAAGTTCCTTTTAGGACTCCAGCAGAACTCTGACACCAAAATCTGGCAAAGGCAGGAAAAGTGAAACTCAACCATTAATTTTAAATAAAAATGTTACCAAAGCTTGGAATATAGTAAGTGGTAGAGCACTTACTTAGCCAAAGGAGGCACCACAAAGGGGGAAAAAAAGTTACCAAAAGGAAACCCATATATTCTGAAATATTATGCTATCAGCACAGTCTTTATTGTCTGCGTGTTGTTAGCAATATGGCCTTCTGAAACCAACCACAATCACTCACTAAGCTCTTCTCTAGCTTACATCTTCTCTATCCTGCTTTTCTAACTTTTCCAAACTCTTACTGAAAGCCCATTCCAAAAGCTTTGGAATCACACGATTGATTTAGTTATAGCAATAACCTTGCTGAAGAGCACTAATTTTCTAGGTTAGCTTTGTGTCACTGTGACAGCATACCTAAGAAAATCAACTGCAAATGAAGAAAGACTTATTTAGACTCATGGATTTGGAAGTCTTAGCCCTTGGTCAGCATGGCCAAGCCATTGCTGACTGCTTCACAGCATGGGCCTCTTATGAGGTAGAACTTTATGGTGGTGACAGTATGTGGTGGAAGAATCTGCTCACCTCATGGTGTTCAGGAAGCCAAGAGTGAGAGAGGCCAAAGGGTGGGGCAGTAATTGGAATAGCCAGGGCACAATATATCATTCAAAGGCAAGCTCCCAGTGACCCACTCCCTCTAATAAGACCCTCCTTGAATTTGTCCATTAAAGTATGAACTCATAGTTCATGATCCAATCCCCTCTCTATAGAGCCATCAGTTACAGACTAAGTCTTACTTTTAAACCCATGGAGGACATTTTAAAAATGTTCAAACCTTAATAATGTCCTGGATAGATTTTAATAACTGTAAAATACATTTTTCATTTCGACTTCTTAATAACTTCTCTTTATAAATGCCATTAAGTTTTCAAGGTAATCTTTTAAATATTTTTCTATCTTACTTCATATCTAATCCATTTCCAAGTCTCATTAATTCCACTGTCACAGTTTTTTTTGTTTTTTAATTACTGTTCATAGTGCTAACACTTTATACTTCAGACTTTCAATACCTCACCTCCGTGCTTTGGAAGTACATTGCTTGCTGCCTCTCCTCTCCTGTCTACTTCCCAATTCAAGTAGATCCACTTAGAGAGGTTTCTTAATTCAAGTCCTTTTGTTTTCCCCATTGTCTTCCAACATCACAGTTCTTCATAATGTCCTGGGCATTATATTATTTATTACTGCTTTTCCCCTAAAGACCTTTCTCTCAACCACACTGGAGTATCTGCCCTTTCTGTATGTACGTAAGCGCACTTGTGTCATGCAATGCCTGTGGAAATCAGAAGAGGGTGTTGGATCCCCTAGAACTGGAGTTATGGAAGGTTGTTAGCTGCCATATGGGTGCTGGGATTCGAACCTAGTTCTTCTGCAAGAACAGCCAGTGTTCTTAACCCCTGAGCCTTCTCTCAAGTCTAAAATTAGTTTTTAGTTAATAAATTAAAACTAAATTTATTAAAGCTAATAAATTTAGAAAGCCAAATATATACTCATCTATATATCAGTCATAAAATATCAGAGAATGTGATTAAAATAACAAAGATTATGTTAATTTAAATTTTATTTGAAAGATTATGCAAACAGTATTCAAGAAAATTTTGATAAACAAAAAAGGACACTGAATTATTAACTTATCAACTGTTATCAAAACAGACTGCATCGGTACAGGAAGCAACAAATAGATAGAAGGAACAGATGAGTCTAAAAAAAGGGACACAAATGAGAATTTACATGTCAAGAAAGTATTTACAGTCAATTGGGAAAAAACTGATCAAAAAACCTTTTTGCATTTTTATTTGTGTGTGTGTGTGTGTGTTTGTGCATGTGTGAAGGACAGAGGACAAGTCTCCCTTTCTACTAGATGGGTCCAGTAGACTGAACTAAGCTCATCAGGCCTAGTGGCAGGCACCTTTATCTGCTTTTACCCCCTGAACTACCTTTACCCACCCAAGAACCGATTGTAAAAATGATTTTGGGGGGGGGTTGGCAGGCATGGTGGTGTACCCCCTTTAATCCCAGAGCAGGAAAGGCAGAAGCAGGTAGATCTCTATGAGATCAAGGTTAGCCTGGTCTATGAAGTAAGTTCCAGGCCAGCTGGGGCTACAAGGAGACTGTCTCAAAACACACATACACATACACACACACACACACACACACACACACACACAGACACACACACACAATTTTGGGGAAAAATGTCCTACCCACTCATGGGAAAAAACAAATCTTTCCCGCAATGTGGAAAAATAGTTTGGGATGTTTAAAAGAGTAAAACATAGACAACATATGAAAAAATTTTAACAATTAGAGAGGGGTTAGGGAGGGGAAAATAATCCTATATATGAGATCTGGGCACTTGAAGCCAAATGACTGATAGTTCTTTAAAAATTTGACATATCCCACAATTAATCCATTTGTATCTTAATAAGAAAACAAAAAATACTTGTGAAAAATGAACAAAATACGTGGACAGGGCATATTTAATAATGGTACATCTGAAAAAGAATGTCACCTTGGTGTTACAAGAAACACACCTACGAATTTTGCCTATTATACATTTTTAAAATCTAAACAGCAGGCCATAGAACAGTATGCATAATCTCATTTTCAAATAAAGCAAAATAACACGATTATGCGTCTTTAAGAGATGTGGAAGGCTTTGGATAACACACGTTGGATATGACTCTGTTACTGTATCATCTCAAGGTTCACGGTCCCTCCCTCTAATTTGTCTAAAAAGGCCCAGGTTGGTTCTCCCCTAAATGTGTACTCCAACTCCAAAAGGCAGGTCATTATCCTCCCTTCAACTTCGCATCACTTTCCTTCTTTGAACACTGGTGAAAGCACCTGCGGGAGGCGACGCCCAGGCAGGCTGCAAGGTGCAGCCTAACAGTACTAGGGCACAGTCGCCTAAGGAGCATCTTTCCCCTTCTGTGCATTTCTTGCCAATTACAGCTTTGGGCATGGGTAACTCGCTGCCAGTCTATACCTGGGTGGGGACTCTACCTAAGGTCTGGGTGGCCAATGCCGGTGAGTGGTTACTTCAACTTTTCCCGCCTCGGCCACCCGTCCTCTCCCGGACCCTTTGGGAAGTTACTCAACTCCTCACTGACAAGACTGTGACATCCACAGGAAGGCAGGGCGTGCGCTTGTGCAACTACCCTGGCGTAAGCAGAAAGAGCCTACTACACGCGCACTGGCCTCGGGGAGTCCGCCTGTCTCCAGAGGCGAAGTCGAGGGCTCTGGGGTCCCGGCAGGCCCTGCCGCCCGCGTCTCCCCGCCCGGGAGTCGGCGCAGAGAACAACAGTCAGCGCGCCGTCGGGTGGGGGCCGTCGGGGCGACGCGGAGACCCGGACCCGGAAATCCCCGCGGTCTGCTCCGGGACAGCCGCCCGCGCTTTCTCCCGCACCCAATCCAGCCACGCGCCGAGAACTCGCTGTGCGCTGAGCTCCTCAGCCCGTCTCTGAGGCGATTTCACAGCAGCGCGTCCCTCCCGCTCGCAGACCCCAGTTCTGCATCTGCGACCTCCACCGCTGGTCACAAACTGACTCGTTCACGAACTTTTCACTCACAGTTTAGGGTTTCCACCGCGCTCTCTCACTCCACAGGTCGCCCGCGCCCGGCAGACTGCAACCGGAAGCCGCTTTCCGTTCCAGTTCAGAGGGCAGCGCCTGCGCGCAGAGCCAGGCCCCGCCCCAAAAGCCCCGCCCCCAAAACCACGCCCCCCAAGGCCCCACCTAGCCGCACCCACCGGAAAAATATCAGCCAGCTAGAAAACCTTACGTCAAATGTAAAGGTCACCTGAAGTGTCTTGGCTAGAATTTTAGCCAGCCAATAAATAACCACTTCCAAAATCACCCTATATGTAAGTTACAGAACCAGCCTAAGAACTTGAGATGTAGTTCCACCAACCAACTCCTATTCCGAGAAGGTAGGGGAAAACTTAGGAATCTACTTTTTTAGCCAGATCCTATTTCAATGTAATTAAGTAATTTGGTTTTGCCCCAACTAGTAAAATTTTACAATAAATACATTTGCTAAAGTTCAATTGTTGGTAAGTGGAAGTAGAAACATTTTTAAATGCCCCATGGATTAAAACTTTTTCATTTCCAGAGATGCTTGAATGTTCCCTAAGATAGAAATTTCAGACAGACACAGTGAGAAAATATCTTTTCCCTGTTAGAACGAGAGGATGAGGTCCTGCCTGCCCCAGTTTCTCTCTATAGCTTAGATGTCTACATGTGGTGCTTTTAGGTCAGTAAGTCCAAGGAGTCAAAATCTGTTGACTTCTAGCACATTCTACACAGCTTGAATATTGGGGTGACTTAAAAGTCAAAGTTAAAACATAGTTTTTAAAAAAAAAATTGAAACTCACAGCAGCTGTAGTTGCCTGCATAATACCTACACAAGATCAAGCTGGTCATTCTATCCCTGAGAGAGAAGGGCTCTAGGCCACACTCTTAGCTGAGGAGCTATTTATTGACAGTTAATGACCTCTGGGGAAGAGAGAGTCAGTTTTCTTTAAGAATGTGGCCCCTGACAGGTACTCCACTCTCCAGTCGATGGTCCCACACCCATGAAGTATTTGGACAACACAAACTGGACTCAGGAGATTTAAAAAAAAAGACATGAAATTAGGAGTGAGTGGGAAGGTGGGGTGAATCTGAGGGGAGTTTGGGGGAGGAGTTCAGGGTGAATATGATGGCTTTTATCAGAATTGACAGTTTTGTTTTGGTTTGGTTTGTTTTAAACCAAGGACTCCTTGTAGCCCCAGATGGCTTGGAACTCACTATGTAGACCCAGCTGGTCTTCTCACACAGTTCTACCTGCCTCCTGAGTTTGGGGCCTAAGGACATGTACCACCACATCCTGGTTGACATAGTATTTTAAATGAAGATTAAGAATTTAGTGAACATCCACAAGTAGAAGACTGAAAATAGATCCCTATCTCTCATCCTTCACAAAAAATTAACTCCAAATGGATAAAAGACCTTAATGTATTAAGATCTGAAACTCTGAAACTGTTAGAGGAAAAAGTAGGGGAAATACTTCTAGACATAGGCATAGGCAAGGGCTTTGTCACAAAAGACTCAAGTTGCTCAGGAAATAAGGCCAACAGTTGAGAAATGGGACTTCATGTTAATTGAGTAAAGAAACTGTCTGAAGAATGAGAAGATTAATATCTAGAATATACAAAGAAGTCAAAAAATTACACAACTGGAAAACAATTCAGTCAATAAATGGATTAATGAAATGGACAGTACTCAAAAGATGTAGTACAAATGGCCAATAAATATATGAAAGAAAAGTTAAAGCTCTCTAGTCATCAAAGAAATGCAAATTATAACTGATTGAGATCCAAATTTACTCCAATCAGAATGGCAGTCATTAAGAAAGCATATAACAACAAACACTGGCAAGAATGTGGACAGAAGGGGACCATTATATACTGATAGGAGTGCAAAATAGTTCAGTCACTACAGAAGTCAATGTGGAGGCTTCTCAGAAAACTGAAATACATAAGCTAACAGACCAGGCTATACAACTCCTGGGTATTTATTCGAGGGACTCCTCAGGTGGGATATCATATTACATAGATATTTGCATACCAATGTTTATTGCAGCATTATTCACAAAGACTAAGTTGTAAAACCAACCTAGGTGTCCAACAACAGAGAAATGGATAAAGAAAATATGACATATATATATATAATGGATTTTTTTCACTCAGAAAGAATAAAGTTATATCATTTGCATAAAAATAGATGCAACTGACAACAATTAGAAAGACAAATAAATATTGGTTTCTTTCTTTCATTTGTAGTTCCCAGATTTTATACAGCAACATAAAATCATGATGTATATATGACTCAAAAGTAGAAGTGAAACTGTCTAGGGGAACAACGGGGACTAAAGGGAAGGGAGAGGAGTGAGAAAAGGGATGAAAGAAGAGTGTGGGGGAAACCTGCTCGATGGACAATACATACTTTAAGAAAATAGGAAAAGTATATTGAATTAAGACCAATAGAGTGATTTTTTTTGTGTGTATGCATATGCATGTGCGCGTGAGTTTGTACTTGTATGTCTATGCATGCACGCGTGCGTGTGTGTGTGTGTGTGTGTCTGTGTCTGTGTGTATGTGTGCATTGGCAGTCAACTTGACCATTGTTTCACAGAAATGACCATCCATGTTGTCACTGGAGCCTGGGGCTCACTGATTAGGGTAGGCTGGCTAGCCCTGAGTCCAAGCATCTCTCTACTTCTACCTCTCCAGCTCTAGAATTATAAACACACCACCATGCCTGGCTTTTTATGTGGGTTCTGGGAATCAGACTTGGATCTTTGTAGTTGCATGTCAAGCATTTTACTGACTGAGCTATCTCCCTAGTTCTAACACTAGTAGAAGCAATAAAATATTATTTCTTTTTTTTTAAATGAGTAGAGTTTAGATATTTGAGGAATAATCTTTTAAAATGATAGCTTAATTTTCCTTCAGTCATGTTAGTATATACCTCAGGTCAGTAAGCAGTGATGTGGCATTGGTGGTGGGGTAGAATGGGGAAAATAGGGAACAGTAGACTTAAAAAATACTTTGGGGCTGGGCGTGGTGGCACATGCCTTTAGACCCAGCACTTGTGAGGCAGAGGCAGGAGGATCTCTGTGAGTTCGAGGCCAGCCTGGTCTCCATAGTGAGTTCCAGGCTGGCTGGGGCTGCAGGGAAACCCTGTCTAAAAAAAAAAAAAAAAAAAAAAAAAAAAGAAAAAAATACTTTGGGGTCTGTTATTGCTAGTTATAATTGTTAGCTTAACACAGCCTAGAATCAACTTGGAAAGGAGTCTCAAGGAGAGACTAGGCAATTTTATGGGTATGTCTGTGGAAGTTTACTTGATTACAGTAATTGGAGTCAGGAGACCCACCTACATGAGTGGTACCATTCCCTAGGCATGGAATCCTGGACTGTGTGAGTAGAGAAAGTGAGCTGAGCACAAGCATGAATGCATCCATTCTTTCTCTGTTCTTGACTGTGGCTGTGACTAGGTGCTTCAAGTCCCTGACTTCCCTGCAATGATGGGCTATTGTGAGCCAAATCAACCCTTTCTTCCCAAAATTGCTTTTGCTAGAATATTTTTATCATAGCAACAGGAAAGGAAACTAGAAAAGGACTTATATTTGAAACTGATTAATATTTAATTGAGAGTTCTAAATATAAATCTAGGAACAAGGAAACTTGCTATTATAAATACTGTAATTTGGAATGTTAGGTATTATTCAGATAAATCTTTGATGTGAATTAGCACTATTAACAGAATGTAGTTGACTTTTGATTTACTATCATATCTGGAATGGCTGTTTGTTTCTTATACTCACCAACTAAAATGCTTTTGAAAAATCAGAAAAATATGAATACTGAGATGACAGGAAACAAGATAAGCCTCATGGTCGATGGCACAATGTATGGTTAAACAGACTGTGGTCATTTGCCAAGCCTTGCTTTCTGAAGTCTGAGTTTTCCCAGAGAAATGCTCTTTTCTACTTTACACAAAGGCAAAATTAGAGTAGCTATAACTCTGTTGACAAGAAGCTTCATGGATGGATTTAATAGAATTTTATGAAATTCACAATAATGGTAGGGCTGAACTGGATATGAACTTTGTTGTTTGGAGGCAAACAAATCTGGTAGCCTGAATAGTGAGAAAGCTACCTGTCCTGTAGCAATTGCTCATAAATTGGACAGTAACTTCATTATTATCTATGACCTATAAGCAATATTTTCATCTCATTGTTTCCTATTAGTACTTTTAAAATGTGTTTTGAAGATATGATTTGGAGAATAACAGTAATGCTACAATTTGAGAAAACAGATGTAATGTTCTGTATTCAAGCATGTGAAACCAGTAACAAGAGAATTTGATTTCAAAGCTGGATGTCTGACTCTCTTCCAGGGCCTGCCTTATCTATCTATCGTCTATCTATCTATCTATCTATCTATCTATCTATCATCTATCTATACTTTCTATTAAGGAAAGACCTTAATTATTGGTCTTTCCTTAACATATAATATATGTATATAAATATATATATATACATATACATATATATATATATACATTTCCAAGACCAATAATAGTTTCTGATTAACCTGTAATTCTCTTCATAGTGAAAAGTTGACAGAGTGTAAAGGATCTCACCTCAGCCCAATACTCCCAGTGTCAAAGTTAATAAATACCAAAATGTTTCAAGTCAAAAAGTTTGCTCTGAACTGTACATGTCTATTTGTCTCCCAGTTCAAGATTTGTGATGAGGAAATAGTACCAATCAGACAGAAGATGAGAAGAACCAAGGAGAATTCTCACACCCAATCAGGAAGACCTACACCAGGAATGAGTAAATACAAGACAAAACATTCCCTTGAAAAGACTATGCAATAAAGAAAACACGAAACAGTGAACGCTTCGGAAAATGATTTACAGGAATGATAATAGTGAGCATTCCTCTCCAATGTTTCTTGCACACATACACACTATATCCTCAGTGTCACATTGGATTCCCACTGCCCCCACTTGTTCAAACCACCACTAATTCAAAATTATCATAACTACATAACAATTCTCATACTCTCTCTTATCAAAGTTTAATGTAACGTTGTTCCTAGATTTATCACCTATCATCACTCAATGTCTTTTCATCACC